TAAACATAATGGCAGTAGCAAATTCTTTTTATTTAAAAATTAATATTGATGTTCATTAATATAAATTACCACATTTCAGATGACTCTGATGTCCTTGAGGCCAGATGTCACTGATTTACAGCTTCCTGGGGGGAGGAGGAGATCCTGTTTTGTCAAAGTAGGCACCAAATTGCTTCAAATAGCTATTTTAGACTAGATTCTTTACTAATGTGTTGTCATCAAAGTCGATTAGCATCACAGATCAGAAACATGGAAAACTCTTTTAGAACATATTGACTTGGATTTTGAAATGCAGGAAAAAGAGCATAAAGCTTACCTTTGACTCATTGAACTCCTGTCTTTTAGGAATAGTGGTTTGAAAACTCCTGCCCAGCAACAGAATTTCCTGCATCATTAGCAATCAGGGAACATCCTTCAGAGGCAGAGTTTTAGGCCCTCATTGGTTTTAATTCTACTTTTAATATTAATACAAATGCGTGTTGCGAGGGTGTGCAGGAGAAAGCTCTGTCACCTCAGTCACACCACAGAGATCAGATATCTGGATTAAATTTTTGAGTGCTTCATAAAATCCTTTGGTCCTTTGGACCCCATGTATTAAATTTTTGCAAAAGAGGATGGCAGATATATTCGTAGAGCTATCAGCAGCCTCCCAGGAACCTCCTGTGAGAACGCTCGTGGGCGATGCCTCCGCAGGCAGATGAGGAGGGCTTGTTGTGTTTGCATACGCTGGCAGGTAAAAGGGGAGGGATTAAAAAAAGCAGGCTGGTTTGAGTCAGTGCATCTCTGTCCATTAGATATTCATTCAGATTCAACCACATGAAATACAGGCATCCAACAAACCACCTCTTGTAAGTGCCTTTTATTGCAGCAGCTGAAATTCAGCACATTTGTAGGTGTGTGGCCCGCCATGCTTAGTATGAATAGCAAACTAATGTAAATCCTGTATTACAGAGTTTGATAGCAAAGCTCACTTATATATGAGAGAAATCTATGCAGGCCTCTGGTAGCACCAAGGTCCCAGGGCAAACAAGTACAAACTGCACAGGTGATATGAATATACAGAATAATGCATAAAGAACTCCCTTTTGAAACTCATCTGCTATTCAAATAAATCAAACCCATATCCACTGAAAGGCTTGGAAAGATGGTACAAGGCTTTAGAAATGGTCCATGTTGAACGTGGGATCTTTTTTCCAATCCTTATAAATAATTATTTTCCTGTGTTTGGTAAGTTTAGCTGCAGAGAATTTATGTTAAGGCTGTGTGGAAAGGAGTACAGAATTTCAGGTGTCAAGCTGAGAAAATGGTTTTTAAATATTTCTGTGATACAAAAGCATTCTAACAAAGAGGCAAATGCATCACCCCCTCAGTCTTTTTTCTCGTTTATGAAATAAGTAAACATAAACTCTTAATTCTCATTTTCAGCAAGTACATTAGTAAAGCCAAACTGACCTTGACCTTAGCTTTGCTAATTCCCAAACTCTGATATTTATTCCTGGAGTAGATTGTTCTCATTCATACCACATATATTAATACTGCAAACCTTTCCAATGCCTTGAATTAGAGTGTAAGTAAATAGCTAGTTTTAATCTACATAATATTTTTGAGAGCAGACATTCTGTGCTATGACTATTAAGATATTCCCAGCAGCCATTTCTATAATACTAAAACCTCTTATATATATTATTTAAAGTAACACTATCAGCCAGGTCTTATTATATGCCACAGAAACTTTAAATAATAAAATACAGCATGGATAAAATCTGCAGTAATAGTAACTTAAGCAAAATTAATTTAAGTAACAGATAACATCTGGGAGAAAATGCAATGGTATATTGGTAAGTTATGCAAAGCTAATTTTATAATAACTACCACATCTGTGGAACTCATCCATTAGAATGCTTTACCAATCTTCTTTCCTGTTACTATTCTGTTTTAGAAATGTCCCTGTGTACTGTTTTACTTCTTTTCTGTGCCTACATTTGTAAAAAGGCAATTTGCTACCTCTCAACAACAAGAAAAGTGTGTGAGTTTACATGCAGAACAACACAGCACTTCCTATACAAACCTGTCCTTGTGCACACTTGTACCAGAAAGAATTCCAGAGCAGGACTGTGGCACAGGGCTGTGCTCTGGGAGCAGTGTCTGCACCAGCTGAGCTCTCAGCCAGGCTGGTGCCACTGGGCTGGGGGGGTGGTGCTGACCCATCCATCCCATATCAAGCTGTGCTGGCTTCTCTGCCCAAGCAGCCTCCTGGCACCCCACCTCACCTCAGAATTAGTAAGAATAGTGCACCTAATAATGCACCTAATTGTCCCTTCAGTCTCTTTCAGAGCAGCTGACACTGATATGCCAGCTACATTTGTGCAACTGCCTCACAGTGTCTTTATGTTTGAATTCCCGTGGACCCGTTGGACTGCAATGTGCAGGAAAATATTGCCAATTAATTTTTAAGGCATTATCATCTTGCCAAACTGTTTCTCACATTTCGGTAGTTATATTGATTCAAGAGGACAGTTTGAGTAATACATCTTTGTCATAGTGAATAATGCTCACATAATGACAAATCTTCAGGAATTAAAAAAAGGAGAGTGAAGTTTTTAATGTAGGTCAGTGGAAGTAATTCACCATAAATTTAGTCAGACTTCAGAAACTAGCAACATTTTTTTAAAGCTTGTGTAACTGTATAAAACTGAGTGTCTCCTTCTCTGTTTTTAAATAGATTTTACTACAGAACCATTGGTGCTATTAAACATGAGGTTTTGTTCAAAGGAAACACAAAGACTTAATTGTATTTTTTAAAGGAAAGTATTGCATCAGAAAGATTCATTTAAATACGTTTGTTGGCTTCAGGCTCTCACCACAATTCATTCGTTCTAATTTTCCCCTGGACTTGTTAAGGACACAATGTATAGAAAGGAGCAATGCAGAATGGCATTTTTAGGTCACTATATTTTGGCTGTAAACTGTAGTCCTGCTCATAAACTTGTTATTACTAAACAAAATGCTTCATATTCTACATTGAAATTTCACAGTCTTTAAAAAACTTTTGGCTGAATGTTGGACTATTATGGCTCATTAAAGAGACTAGTTCTGCTGTAATTTAGTTATTTCTTAATCATCCAAGGGCTATTATTAGACATGGAACAGATGAGTAAAGAATGGCTCTCTGTAAAAAGACGCAGTGAAGTAAAAATATTATTCAGAAAAACAGAACCTCTGAAAATCTTGTCCATGCAACAAAAGTGCATTCAATTGACTTGGAATTTATTCTAAAAACATGGTCTATTTTTATTACATAATTTGACTTTTTTTTTAATTTGTACTGGAGAGAATAAATTGAATGATAATTTAATCTGGATAAAAATATATTTTGAGTGAATAGGTAACTAAGCAAAAAATATTATTTTAAGGAAGCAGAAAGTAATTTTGAATTGTCATCCATTTCAGCTAATATTTTAATAAGAAAACATAAGATAAGAAATCAGAGAAAATTAAAATAGTTGCTAAATTTAAAAAGCTCTAATTTAAAAAAAAATACAATTTGAAAACAAAGTGTCTTTATTTCTGAAAGAAATACAATTTGAATCAGTTTTTTCATCTTGATAACAAACGCAAACTTTCTGACTTTTGTGAGTATGTAGGCACTGACAAAGTGCTGAAAATTTGAATTGCAAGTTACAAGATAAAGGAAAATGCTTCTATAACTCTATTTTTCTCCTCAATTATAATGGCAAATTTTTCTATCAGCCTGTAAGGTTCTCATAAATATGGGCTAATACTATCTACCTATTTTACTGAGCTCACACATAACAGGGAACCTTGGAGGTAGTGACTGAGTCCAAACAGAAGTTCTGAAAAGCTTTTAGGACTGCAAAAGGGATTTCTATTGCAATGATGTGGCTAGGTCTAACTTTGTATTTTCAATTGTTGCTATCTCTTCTGCAGATGTATAGAAGCTTTAATATTTTCAGCATGTTAACTGTAGCAAGTAACTAAATGAGTCAAATATCAACCTAGCTACAATTTCAAAAGTATGAGGAAATTAATTTATGGGAATTGCAATTACCCTGATGTGAATTAATGTCGTTTACTTACGCCATCCAAGCAAAATGCTGTTTGTAATCGCTGACTCAGAACTGGAACATCTGCCTCCTAGTCTCAATGGGCACTTCCCCTGCAGAGGCCCCTAACACACCATTTCAGTGCTGTACCCCGCTCCTTGCTTGGTCACAAATGCCTTTTTTCGCCCTATTTGGCACATATGTTCTCTGTCATCCATTTTTTTAAAGTAGGACACAACACCTTGTTCCTTTAGAGGACACAGGGCTTCCTTCTGCATCACTCCTGAGAACCTGAGCATGGACTTGGTGCTTCATCCAGCTGCTCCGTGGGGGAAAAGCCATGCCTTGTCAGAGCATTCCTAGAGCTGCAGGTCCCATGGTCCCCCTCCCTGCAGGGAGGTTCCCACAGTCACAGCAAAGGAGCAAGAAGAAGCAGCAGAACTCGGACCATTTAAATTATAGTTACATATTAAAATAGTTTCCTTAGGGCCTTATTTGATTTAGTGTCACTGCAACTTCACTACAACTGACTCCTTTTATACTCCCATGCAATTCCAAACTGCAACAATGTCCCTGTTCAGAAGTGACAAATTTGCACTGGGAAGACAGAATGTTACCTAAGTACTGTGTTTTCTAAATGTAATTATCCACATGAGTAAGAATCTGTAGTGTTATGAAATTATGAAAATCATCTGTTCTTTCCAAGCATTATAAAGAGGGCCCCTTGAGATGCAACTAGAAATTAAAGTTGATCTGTAATAATTTTCAGAACGCTTTCCAGTTCTGAGCACCTGGATAGTAACAGAAAAGGTATTGTTTTTTGCTGCTTGCCAGCCATTTCATTTCCATTTTCAAAAAACTGCAAGAAACCTCTGAGCAATAATTAAGCATAAATTACTTTAATTTTTTTTCTTTTTTTCTATTTAATACTACCAGAATGAGATTGAACTTGACCAACCTGCAGTTTCCCCCTCAGCTTCAGCAACAGAATCTCAGGTACAGTTTTGTTCCTTTTAGTTTATTTGGATGGGGGGAGGGGGGGGTTTAAGCTGTTTTTCTATGAATTTCCATTGGATCCCAGTCACTGATGGCATTTATTCTCTAGGACATAGCATGCATTCTCTTCTAAGATTGAATGAAAAGAGTTTTAATGCATTAATCAGTCAGCAGAGGACATCTCTTTGACTGAGCCCAGCTGGTTTCTTGCCCTGTGGGAGGATGTGTCTGCCTGGCCTGGGCAGTATGAGAAGCCACGATGGCCTCTGTCAAGGCAGCGCTTCCCAAAAGCAGCTCTGTGTGTTGTTGCCTTTCTTTGTGCTGATGCTGTTGGGTCTCATAGAGGGCAGGAAGATGTTCTAACTCAGTGTTTCCTCTGGCTGGCTGCTGCTAGGGGTCTGACCAGGGGGGTTACCTGCAAGAGCCCTGTCCAGAGGCAGCATCTTCAGAAGCAGATGCTGTAGCTGGAGTCACCGCTGAAGATGAGAAGTCTGCAGTGTGTGAAATCCCGAATGAAATTATTGGCAACCTTGAGGTACTATTACTAGAAAGCTATTCACTAATTCTGTCTATGGTTAATTAGCTAGCTCAGTCTTAATGAATATAAACTGTGTTTGTGCTAAAGCTGGCAAAAAGCACATCCATATGCTGTAAAAATGTGAATTAGCCTCTATAAATAACTCCTAGTTTAGTCAGCTTACATATGATAAGATAAAAAATACTCAGTAATATGACAACATATATCTTCAGCCTTACTATGTGTCAAAAACATGGGCCAAATCCTGCGCTCAGTGATGTCAGTGATAAAATTCCTTCTTAGGGGTTCAGGACCAGCTGCTGTGCTAGAGGATATGCAATGTGTGCTTAATATAAATTGTTAGATGCATCTATGTCACACATCCTTCAATTTGTGTAAGAAATGACTCACTTATGCCAATTTTAGGCTTTGTCTGGTAGGTGTGTGACTACACAAGAGCTGCCTTAATGAAACAGATCAGCTGTCAGTATGTGGTCTTCAGACTCTGAGGGGTCCATAATTTCTTTCTGTGAGGTTCATGGAAGGGAAGGAAGCTGCTGTCACTGGAATTAACAGGAGATGATTGAAAGCCAAATCTGCTAGAACAGATTTGTACCATGGAGCTGCTGGAATTTGGTCTTACTGGCAACAACCAGGTGACATTAGGCACTTTGAACTTCAGATACAGCACATTAGACACTATTGACTAAGCAGCAGTTTAATAAATACCTAATATTATCTGAAAATACTGTGGTATTGGTAAATTGCTTTACTTGGACTATGCATCAGTAGGGAATAGAATTACTATATTAATTAGTTAGAATTATTATATTAATTAGTATATGAATTAGAATAGAATAGAGCTTTAGATCTACCTATTTGAGTTCTTATTCCATATCAACACATCTTAAGAAATGGGAGGAAATCTCTGGCCTGTGTTATCTCATTCCTGTCCCTACCAATAGAAAAGAGTAAATACCTGGTTTTCACTTGACCTTGATGCCATTAACATCAGTGCTAAGAGGTTTTTATTTCTTTACAAGACTGTACTTTTTCCTTTTTTTTTTTTTTTTTTTTTGTGCAACTCTGGTTGTACACAAAGAAAGTAATTTCCCCTCAGGTTTAATTCTTTAATTCTGATACCATTGTATCATTTTCACCTGTTTTCTCAGTTTCTTGACCTCCGAAGAAATCTTATAATTAGATTTTTACCTGATTCATGATAAAACTCATACCATTTTTTGTTATGTGTGAAATACGATTTCACAATCTGCATTATGTCTCAACATAACATAATTAGAGCAACAGGCAGCTGTTGCTCTAATTGAGTCTAGAAAATAACTTTTATTCAGGTATCACAGTGCTGACACTCGGTGGTCTCAGCAGTGGCCATAGCGAAGTATGGTGGCAGAGGATTTTCAGTGGAGGTAGGACCAGAGACAGAGGTGTGTAAAAACTGAAGAAAAGGCATCTGGAGTGGCTGGGAGTTGATTAGCCTAGAGGATCACTGTTCCACCAAACAAGTATACACATCACATAAAGGGATGAAGACGTATTTGTTGATTCTTGGATTGAATATGGTGAAGGCCGTCTCCAAAGATACAAAGTTGAGAGAGAAATGCCAGCCTTTTGGTTCTAATCTGAGCTACTGAGAACTTTGAAAACATTTCAGCTGTGGTTACTCATTTATATATTGCAGAATAACACTAACAGGGATTTCTAGGATTGGCAAGCCTCAAAGTTCCTAAAATGTCAAGTTACTGCAAGCACTTCTGGTACAAATCCATTTGCTTTATCAAAGCTACCTGAATTACATTAAGACTGTTACTCTGAGTTTTGGAACAGTTTATATAGAGTCTGTAAAAGACACGTGAACCTGTCCTGGTTGTTTGAACAAAACTTTGTGACTCTTAGAAATAGTGTCATTGCACTCCTTCCATTTCTCTTGTATTTTTGCAGCGATCAATGCTCATACTGAAAAATATACATAAATTACCCATAAAACACCAGTGTTTGTGGCCCTTTTTCCTGTGAATCCACATTTCCAAATGTCATACAATCAGAGATTGCTATGAATTATCACTGCCAAAGATTTCATTAGAATACATCACAACCCCTGTACCTTCCCCACAAATGTTACATTGCAAATTAAACACTCAATGTCTACAGTAGTTTGGATTTCCAGAATGAGATGCATATTCATAATTGTGTTTGTAATTAAGACAGACAAGTGGCATCACAGAAATACATTTTTATTGTTTATTTTCAGTAATGCTTTTTAATTCCAGCACTGTTTCAATAAAACACATTACACTAGAGAACAAACATCTGCAGCAAAGGAAAACAGTAGGAACAACCAGATCCCAAAGCAATTTTTCTGATTTGGTGTCTATTGGTAAAGGCTGTCTGAGAATACAGGAAAACTAGCCTATCTCCCAAGACAAGGTTACATGAGGAATGGCTGTCCCAGATCACTTCCTGCTCATGGCATCCCTTGGAATTGTGCACGGCAATGTGATAACATGCTATCACGTAAGGACAGACTGGAACACTGTTCTGTCTGCAAAACAGGAAGGTGTGGAGGATAATGTCTGCCTTGCTGCTCTACACTGTGTCTCAACCACAAAGACAATGTGCAGCCTAAGATAGCTCCATCATAACCACTTCTTTCTTCTGATTTTCTTTACAGGCAGACTTCAATGAAAAGCTGCAAGTGCAGGAAGAAGCTTAGACTTGGAGAAGAGAAAAATTGAGAAGTATTAAATAGCCAGATAAGAAAGGTGATGCTGAGTTTTGCAGGAATTGGTCAGCAGGGGATGGCACATACAGAGGCTGGCTCACTACCTGAACCAAATTATTTTTGTATAGAGGAAAATGGTTCTATTAACATTTACCTGGAAGTATTTCATTCCAGTCCCTCAAATTTACAGTGTTTGGCCAGCATTGTTGTTTAGTTTAGACTTAAGTTGAAGATTATAAACAGAAGGACACATAATTAAAACATGTTGAAGTTCACTTTATTTCTGAATACAAATTCTAACTTAAAAAAAAAAGCTGCAGTTTCATTCTCCCAGTTGTGAAATACTTAACAGTTTCTGCTTTACACCTATGTTTTTTTTCAGAAAATGTTGCTACAAGAAAAATACATAGAGGGAAAACATTATTTTGAGACACTGTAGATATAATAAGGGGAGAATTTAATTAACGTGTAATTACACACCTTGCACTGTAGCTATTCATTAATAATATGTACGGTATTTTGTTTTAATTTGCTTCCTAAGCTTTAATACAAATTTAATAGCTTACACTTCTTTCTTTCCACCATATTAAAATTGCATAACTGAAGAGTTTGCACTTAAGTATTCCAAGAAGAGTTTCTTTAGATTTCAGTGGATTTTTTTCTGGAATGCATGTATCCTTTCATCTGAGAAGGTTTCCATATTTTGTCAGACATTATAGAAATGTTTCATGCTCAAAAGGATTCCAACCAAATAAACGACCTCGGAAGAACATGTTGAACATCTATGTTTCAAACTTGCAGCCTGTATTTGTTGTGTCACAGAACTCTGTGCCCTAGAAAGCATGAGAAATACAAGTCATGCTTTGAAGCGTAAAGGCTGGATTGGATTGCATGTTTAGTGGCATACATGAGAAACAGAGTATTTATTCATTGCATTTTCATATTTATTTACCACAATGTAAAAAGTTATATTTTGGTTGATTAAACATCATCCTCATTTTTTGGTGGTCATAAATGAAAAAAATTTGCAAGCCTGACTCGGCCATTCAAAAGAAGAAAACAGCTTGTAGCAGTCCTCCTAAAAGGTCTGATTTGATGCTGCCTGACTTTCAGGGGCTGCTCCTGGTGTGCACAGTGCTGAGCATGCAGCTGGAAGGGTCATTCCCATGTGCTCAGCAGGACGTGGTCCCACAGCTGAAGACAACAACCCAGCAGCTGTGCCTGGGTGTGCCCTGCAGAGTGCATGCCCAGTGTGGGCATGGAGCTCCTGCAAACCAATGGTTCACTGGTTGAGGGGATAGAGCACTTTCCTTGGTCTCATGCACTGAGAAAAATTCTTCTTCTGGTACATGATAAGATGTAAGGCCTGTAATGATTCACTTCCAAGTTCTCTTGATTGCTGTTTCCAGTGCTGGCCAGAAAATTAGTGAGAGCTTCCCTTCATCTATTAAAAGCTGACTGTGCTGCTTTGAACAATGAAGGAATTATTGAGGCATTAGTAGTTTTACCTTTAAAAAAATATTTTGATTCCTGGGTATGTTCTTTGTTGTTTTATTCCTATGAAATGTATTTTTTTGTTAATGAAACTTTCTGAAATCAGAATGTCCTTTATTTTGATACATAAATCCATCTCCCAAGACATTATGCTAATGTCTCCATTTCCCTAGTTTTGAACTCAAAGGTGAGAACAGAACTTTTGAAGAGAGCTGTCCATATGACAAAGAGTATTTAAAATACTTTTTAGTGAAAATGTGTTATTGGCAATTTAGCATTGTTTAGCACTTCAGACCTAAATCTGAGGGCTGCAACATTCCTGCTGTAGTGCTAAACAGAAAGGGACTAACTATGGTTTATATTAAGACCAATGCTAAACAAAGACTTTTGCCCATAGCTCTTTCTCCCTCTCCCAGATTTTATAAAACCTCTGGGAAATTTTGAAGTGCTTTGAAGATGAGAAATAGTATATGAACCTCAAGTATTACTGTGATGATTTGTTAGCAGTCAGTCTTAGTACATATGCATAACAGCTGAGGTAGTGCAGAAATCCAGAGTGAAGTCCAAATCCCACAAACCATATTCGTAACCAACTTTCTGCAGAACTAAATAATGCTACCAATAAAGAATAGACCCTGGGATTTTTTGAGAGTGGAAAGGAGGATGGTTAGGAGCCTGAGGAAGGCAAGATGAGTAAAAGGTAGACATAGCATCTCTCTAAGCAGTTGGAGTGTGAGTTCTGACACAGCATATGAACATTGAATTGAAGAATTCTTTAATGTCTTCAGAATGTTAATATGAAATGCAAAACATCATGCTTTGGATAGATGGGTAGGAACAAAATGTTCAGATGCAATATGGTGCATTAGGAACAGTCTCCATTCTGTATTCCTGGCTTTCCCATTGGTTTAAATCAAGCTTGCTGTTTCTCCAGTCTCTCATGTCATGTTGAGTTACTGCTGTAGTCATCTCTAAAAATAATTATGCTGTCATTCCTGGGACCTACACTTGAGGCTTTGGTATTACTATCTTCGAGTTTTTTGGGTTTTTCTGCCACACTGTTGATCTAACAAAGTTCTTTACAATGCATATACATAGAATAGTTCTTAACAGGTTCCCACCCTACAGAGCTCTCAATTTAAAGCAGATAGTTCTTGTAGAAATGAAGGGAAGAGGTTGTGTTCTACCTTGTCTGCCAGAGAAGTGGTGGTTTTCCAAGGGCAGAGGACAGATGAAGCAGTATAATTTCTCCTATATAAGGAATAATATTAATGCTTTTTAGCATCTTCATGGCAAAATCCTAGTCTGTACTAGCATTTTATAATGAGACAGTGCACAACTAGTAATTATCCTCCAGTAAAAGAAAGGCTCTATTTTCAGGCAGTGCTTTTCTGCATTACATTGACAGTGTGATGGAAGTTTAGATGGAAAGCAGCTTTTCTAGTAAGAAGCTGGCTTGAAAGTGATTGGAGAAGAGGCAAAGAGAAGACAGTTTTTTACCTGTTTTGTAGTATTTTGTTATGACCTTTTCTTCTCAAGACTTTCTTCTCTATTTTTGCACCGAATTTTGATTTGAATTTGAAAATTGCCACACTTTTTTCTTCCTAAAATTGTAACTGGCATTCCTAGAAAAATTGTTTTCCTAGAAAAGCCACTGTGCGTAGGCTTCAAATTCAGCTTTTTGTAAGTGAGAATAAGACATTTTCTTCAATAACCTACACTGCCAACCTGACCACAAAACATGGGCAAAGTCAGCACTGGCCTGTTTCAATCAGGCTCTTCAGCACATGATCCAGATGACCACTCAAACATGTTCATCTAGATGGGTGTGCTGTACTTACCTGAAAAGCCTCTGGAGCACAGGTTTGGCCCTGGGCTCACCTAGGAGGGTGTAGAAGAGAGAACCACAAAGTTCTGTCAGCTGGCAGTCTAGGGAGGGCTGTGTTCAAGGTGAAATCCTCTCTACTTCTCCACCACTCTTCACAAGGAAGTGACAGCAGTGACAAAACACTGTGCTGCTTGCCATGAACAGCTCCAAACTGAATGTTTGGAATGAGCATTTCAGCCCATTTTGTTGTGGCACTTTGAGTGTGCAGAGCAAGCTTCAGGCTCCAGCAGTTGTGGATTCAGATCACATGTGCAAAAAAAAAAAATTCAAAGGATAGTTGCAGTGACTCATGTAATTGTGAGTCCCATTCAGATGCAGAGCCTTAACAGAGGACATGGAATTAGTAATGCTGCAGAAAGAACAGAATGTAAAATATTTCCAGAGTAGAAACAACCTGATATTTTACATAGTGGACAGCTTTAAATGCAGTAGTGCTACTCTAAAGCCTGTGCTGTCCTTGACTCAACAGAGGGTGCACTAAATGGGAGGTTTGTTCATACACAATTCTTCACTCACTAGGGCTGCTAGGAGTTGTGTTTATTTTTAATGTGTTTTTAAATGTTTCTGCAGCTGACTCAACAGAAAAGGAAAAGGTGAGTTGTTGCAAGCACCCCACCCAGAAAGGGTAGGGGGAGCAAGAGGGGATACTGTGGCCTTGACATCTGGAGGCAGTGAGGAAGAATGGTCCAAAAAAGTTATTCTCCTAAATGAGCATGGCACTTCCTGTGTTCCTGGAGAAAGGCCGGTGGAGCTGTATCACTTCAGGATGCTGATGTGCATGGTCATTCTTGGTGGGAGCCTCTAGAGGTTGCTTGCAGCACCTTTTAAGGTGAGCCTGTTCCTCCAGTGACTGCAAAGGTGGCATCAGGATTTTGCTTCCCTTTACTGAGGTTGGTCTTCCCTTACTGAGGTTGGTCTCCAAGTTCTCATTTCTCTTTTTCCAGCCATTTCTGAAGATCTTTCATACAACATTTTCTTGACATTTGAATCTTACATGTTTTAAACTCCAGCCAAGACAATTTTCTTTTCTATTTTTATGATTGTATTGATTGTAGTATAAAAAATGTCTTATCTGAGTAGAGCAGGATCCAAGTATCCCAAGCTGCTACCTTTGCATTGGCTGTGGGAGACGCTTAGCAAAGAGCATAGGAGCAGGGCATCCTAAGGGCATTCCCTTCTATGGACTGGTGCTTTATACCCTTGTGGAGCCAGAGTATGCACCCATCAATTGAAATCAAGGGAGTTTGTCTAGTCTGTTTTTGACCTCAGCTGTGCTCCTGCCCACCGTACTATGCAATGATAATAAGTTTCACACTGTCGTTTTTGTGTTGGTGATGAATGCCAGCTGCAGTGGATACTGAAGGCTCACATTTCCTCAGCTCAGAGGCTTTCAAGATCCTCAGTTGTACTGGTGGCTTGTGTGTCTTGAGAGTGGATAACCAGGAAGGCACTGACTTTTCATGTACATCAGGAGCAGCTGAGACCCAGGTAAGAGAAAGCATCTGTCACTCTCTACAAGAGTCAGCCAGCATTTACACCCTGTTACTGTTTGTCACTTCTTTTTGTGCCATATCTAACTTGGATTAATCCTGCTGAGCAGAGATGCATCATTCAGTCTTCATGTGTGTGTCAAGGGACACACAAATGTCCCTGCCTGGACAGAAAGATAATGACAAAGGGAGGAAAAATGACCATCTTTGGTCTGTCAGGCAGACAGCAAATAGTTTGCTATTCCAATTATCAGAGCAGCAAATTTCCTTGGAGCATGTAAGTTGTGCATTACTATGCAGCTCTGAGAGGAAACTTTGCCCTTTGATTGTTTTCCAAAGAAATGTTCTCAATTTCTTTTCTGCCAAATTCATATTACAGATCATGCTAACAAATTTTCCCAAGCCTTCTTGACCTTCTCCCTCCTTTCCAGTAGTAAAAGAAATTTCACTCATGGCAGGGAGATGTTGAAGATTGCTAAATTTTGCTGATTTAGGAACAGACTGAATGAAACAAGCTTAAAAATATGTAGATAGCACATTTCAGAATGCAGTTAGCTCCGCTGGTAAGGAAAATGAAACTTGTGATAATTCTGCTGTTTGACAGTGTGTTAGAAAATTGCCTGCTAATGGGTGGGTGGGGAGGCTGCACATGCTCCCTTATGATGATGGCAGAAGTGTGTGTATGGCCCTGGGGAGCCCTGATTTGGGAGGATATTGGTTTTGATTTCTTTTTCTCCTTATTTTTCCAGTAAATCTGTGCCTGTTCTAGCCAAAGTAAGACAAGGTAACAGCAATACTTTGCTTCAAACGAGGTGTTTTATGTTGATTGGAGCTTGGGGGTCTCAGTGTTTAGTAGCACCGTTTCCTCTGTAACTGACTAATTTGTAAACAACTGAGTGAGCCTGAGAGGCCTCCAGTTTGAGTTAGGATTTTGGGGTGTTTTCTGAATTAACAAGGTGAGAGGAAGACACCCCTTTGCTGTGCTTCCCTGCTTTTGACAGTTCTGGTATGCAGTCGTCACAGTGTAGTTTTGCCACTAACCCATTTTTCACTAGAGTTTTCTTACCCAGTATCTGTCTGGATAAAAGAGGGATGCAGATTTTTGTGTTGGTTTTGCTCTGAGACCCTTCCAGCCTTTTTTTGAAATGCCACATTTCGACTTAACAAATCGTTGGATCATGCAGTTCTGATGCCCCAGAAACCATTTTCAGTGCCATACTACAAAAGCAGGACTGATACAGATCTCCTGACTGCATTTCAAAGACATACCTTTGGATGACAGGGTTGCAGATGAGGCTTTAATTCTTTAGAACTCAGTGGGAAGATGTTCATTTACTACCAAAGGCTCTCACTTTAATTTTTGTATCTTCTACTCCAATTTTCTGTGAGTAATATGGATATGGGGGCTGATCTTCTATTAAAGTAGGGGGATCAGTTATTCAAGTGAATTCTTTTGCTATCAATGCCAATATTTCTGTGAAATTATTATGATGTAGGGCTACATGAAGGTATGTCTTTGTAATATATGTCAGCTTTCAATACTGTCTCTCAAATATAAATTATGAAGAAGATTTTTAAGCCCGTGATCTCAGTTTTAGTAACTCCCTACTCAGACAAAATGTTCCTTGATCTCACTAGGCATATTTACCATGGTGTGACTCAGGTGTGCCAGAGCTGGGCTGGGGCAGCAGCTGCAGCTGGAGGGGAGCTGGGCAGGAGCCAGGACAGCCGGATGAGCCCCTGCTACTCCCACATGCTGAAAGGTGGCTGCCACACCACGGGGGAGCCTCACTTCTGCTGAGGGTTTTCTCTGAGTAAAAACAGAGTTTTAAGCATGAATCCATCAGGCTCAAAGAGAGAATTGGGATCTGTGTGCACATCCCTGCATTGCATTCTGAGCAGGTTAAACACGTGTATGTGTGATGGTATTGAGAAACAGAGTGATTTAGATGGATGCACATTATTCCTCAGCTCTGTGTCAACAATCAAAAATGAGCTTTTGGATTTATTAGTTCCCAATCCTGCACCTATCTTAAATCATTACCATATAATAAGGACTCTATATGGTGCATTGTCAATAAAACCTAATATTGAGAAGATTACCAATCGTCTAGTGCAAATGGAGAGCACTGTAAATGATTTAGAGAATACGTGTCAAACGTTAAAGCTGTCTAATACCTTCTAAAGTAGGTTGATACTCATAAATCTAAGATAAACGACCTGTAAAACCACTTAAGAAGAAATGATACTCATTTAATCAGGCTTCCAGTGGAAAGACTGGGTAGGAGAGCAATTCATAAGGAATTATGAAATCTCTTCTAATTCAGGACTTTGTTGATACAGAATGCATTTGAAACATACATTTGATAAGCAATTTTGGTTACTTGAAACTACTGTTGTAATAGCACTAAATTATGGCCCCACTGAAAAAAGATCAAAGGACATTTTTTTATGGTTTATTGAGCTCTTATTTTTCCAGATTCAGCACTGTGTGTATCAGATGGAGATATAAAAAGTATTCATTGGAACTACTGTTTTGCTTAATTACAGGGATGTGGTGTTGAATTGGCTTCTGTTGGTGTGGCTGTCCATACTCACTGATAACAGTAGATTCATTATTGCATTTTCCTGAGAGGAGCAAGTCATCATTTACTGGGACAAGCCTGGTAACAAATATAGTGAAACAATCTCCCATGTTTTCACAGAGCTGAGTGTTAACTTGCACGAACTTGGTCTGTTGAGTTTAGTGGTCTTTTCTACTTTTTTTCCCCCTCCAGACCCACTTGAAGGGTGGCTAAATATGTGTGGCAGAAAAATTAGATCATGATTTTCACTACCAAAGGTCTGATTCTTCAGTTCTTGCACAGACAAAACTTCCATTCCCTTCAATATGTTTTTAAGGCTACTTGTTAATTCCTGCTCATTCTTTTGGCTCTGTGAGTGCCCAGAGCTCAGCGTCACTGCCAGCATTTATTAGAAGTTGACGCAGAGTTTTTCTTGAAGCAACTGTAGTGGTATATTTAGCCATGGAGCAATCTTTCCAAAGAGCACTGTGCTGTGACTCATGTGACTGCTGCTCTGCTGACCCTAGCAGACTTACTCATCGTTTACATAGTGGCAAACAAGATCAGGTTCTGGCTTGATGCCTTATTTCCCTTGATGCAATAAATGTGCTGCTTGCACATGCATTTTACTTCAATTCACGTATTTTAAGATAAACTGGGAATCCAACTTCTTTTTTCTTACTGTGAAAAATAAGGGTGCTTAACTGCTTCTCTGAGTGGAATTGGTGAATGACATGCAAATGCAGCTCAACCCTATGTAACTTGTTTGTACTGCAAAAATAACCATGGTTATAACCATGATTATGGTTAAAATGCATTATCCATCACCTCCTTTCTTCTTCCTTGCTCTCGCAGAGAGCAAAACATAGATGCCAGCACACCTATGCAACAGCTGTAGTCTCACCCAGTCATAGCAGTAGTGTTTGGAATGGTTGAGTTTGTAATGAGCAGGGAGGGCAACCTTGGCAGCACTTTCCCACTGGTAAATTTTTGAGATACTGAAGTCTATCTAAAAAAAATCTTGTTGATTTACTTTCTACTTTCTTCTCAGCTGGCATAAAGAGTCATTTTATAAAATACTAGTTAAACCGAACATACATTAAAGATCATTTCAGAAATCTGTCAGCCTCAAGAACATTGCTTTTCCATTTCCTGAGAATACCTTGGAGTAACTGGCTTTGCTACTCTGAAGCAGAACAGCTGTTGTGTGTATGTGTTGTATTTGCATTGTGTGGGGCAGGATATTTGTTATTAGTTTGAAAAAAAGAAAAATCAGCGGCAACAGCTGGATTGACTTTCACCTGGTAGTTACAGGATCTGTTGCATTTTGCTGTTGACAGAGAGCAGAGGAAAATTCACACATGATTGAGAGCTGGAGAAGCCTCTGAGAGCTGGGAGCTTAAGCCTTCCATCATGTAAAATGGCTTGTGAAGGGTGAAATTGCTTGGAGTTGATCAATTTTTATTTAGGTGTCAGTGCTTTTTAAAATCTATGGGGTTTTTAAAACAAACTCTAAGGGATAACAGAAGGAGGGTGATGCTGGATAACTGGCTATTAGTTATTTTATGGCAGTGCAGTAATAGTTATGTTATGGCAGTCAGGTAACTAGTTGACCAGTTATTCAGTGGCAGTTAACCTGGGAGCTGCAGATGGCTGGGACTGGATGAGCTATCAGTGGTCTGTGCTGTTGAATCATAAAGCGCACTCAACAGGCAGTCGGGCTGGGGGCATCATGCACCAGCTGCAAACCCAGCCCCAGGAGGCCTTAGCAGGGCTGAGGACCTGCCCCTCCTCTGCCACATGTGGGAGACCCCCATTCCTCACTCACAAGCAGTTAAATCACATATGCACTCCTCAATTATAATTAAATTAAAATCTCACTAATTTGGCAGCATACCTATCGTGCTCTATCCTAGCAAGAAAATGTTATTTCTTCTTTTATTCTTTTTTGCTTGAAACCCAAGCCATCAATGACTTTCAAAGAAAAAGGAGGGTTTTTTCTTTAGAAAAAATTCTATTCAAATTATTCATGATTTCTATCAAGAAGGAACCTTTCCTCTTTCAACTAGCAAAAAAAGGGGAGTTTGATCTTCCTCGAAATCATTTGAGAACCTTGTACATTTCTTTCCAGAACTAAAACTTTCTTACAAAGCTTTGGATATTCAGTGGAATAATGCCTATTACATAATTGAAGCTCAATACAATACCTTGGGGCTAATAAATGGTCTCCTGGTTCTCTAGAAAATGTAAAGATCATAATAGTTCTTACTGGGACTAGGCCAGGCACAAATGACAAAGTTGCTTTTGAAAGTGAGTTGTGGCCAGAAATACTCTTGGACCAAATAATTCTCTTGACTGTCAGGGGGACATTTACTTCCTTTAATTTTCAGCCTAGATTTTATGTTGATCCTGTGCACCGAATAAAATCAAGCCCAACAGAGCTGCTACTGCAGCTGGTACAGCTGTAAATGTGAAGAAGGCCATTTAAGACAACTCTGTTTCACTGACTATGTTATTTGGAAAGTATGCAGATTATATTAAAAATGGCTTGATATGTCTTTATTGTGTGTAGTTTTTTTTTTAAGGAAGCAAAAGATTCTTCACTATTGAGTAGTTTATTAACATTTCTGATGGCAGCTCTTTTACTTAGAAAATAATTGTTCTATTGTATGCTGTGAAGCTGCCTGTAAACAACTGGCAAAGGAGTACACTGGTTTGTATTCTGCATGAAGAAAAAATCAAATTCAATTGATTTATCAAAGGGGACATTCTTTGATGGAAGGGAGCCTTTTCAAACTTTATTAAAAATATTGAATAAACCATGAGCAATCAAAGTTCATAATATGAACTCCTGCTTTTACTTGAATACAGTAAACCTTCAGAATAACTCATAAAGCAGGAGATGAGATGTCTAATAAAAAGAAATGCTCAGAGCAGCCTATTTCCAGACCTCTGTCTTGGTCTGGATCTTGGCTACACAATTGCAGTCCCACTGATTTTACTGGAGTCACTCTGTGTTTCCACTGGAGAGACTGGTAATAAGAATTGAGACTTGAACCTTTTTTCTGTGACCAATTCAGAAGTATCCGTGAAAAGACTGCCTGTCTTTTCATTGAGGGTTTTTCCGTCATTCTGAAAGAAGAAATGAGATTGCAGTCAGCAAAGCTGCACAGTGATTAAAGATAATCTAGGTATGACCTGCAGGCTGAGTGACTGTCCCCTCTGTTCTAGGAGGAAAGCAATCATATGGCCAAATGCAGGATGGCTGGTGGGAGTGAAAACAAGTGAAATGGAAATTCCCAGAGCTGCAGAGAAAACAGAACTCAAACAGGTGGGATAGTATGTCTCTGTCTTGCAATCAGCACTGAAATCATGGGCCCAGTGTGAAATACTATGTGTAAAGCTCAAGTGTGTTAGAAAATAAAATGCTCATATTTAGCAGCAAGAAAACGTTAGTGGTATTTTGATATAAAGGATAAAACAATTGAGGATAATAGGATAACAATAACTGAAGGTATACAGGCAAAGAGTGAAGGAGAGGAAACAAACACTCTGATTGATCAGGGCACAGTAACCTGATGTCATTTCAGTTGGGACACGAGGTAGAGCGCACTCAGCATGTTCGTATTCCAGGCAGAGGTCAGGCTGCACCTTCCAGGAGGATTTTCACAGCCACACCCAACAGGGAAGTAGAGGTGGGTACTTGCTGCCTGGGGTACCTCTGGCTGGAAGGTGGGATGGAGAGCTGGGAGAAGACACCTGGTGGTGCCCAGCACAGCCTGTCAAAGACCTTTGCTCTGAAGGGAGCAATTCATAACTTTTTAGAGTAGCACCCCAGGCCCAACAGAGGTGAAAAAACCCAAACCAACAAAAAAACAAAATAAACTCCCACCCTGAGAGCTTTTGGAGGGGATCTATCAGGAAAACCTCTGTCCCTTGTGGGTTTTTTGCTCTGGAAATGAAGCAAAGAGATTTGCAGTGAAGACCCTTTGTCAGTCCCCAGCCAGGTTAAATATAAAACCTCTAAAACTCTGATTAGTTGTTTGGGTCAAAAGAGATCATATGCTATAAAAAAGCTGCCTTCCTGCATGTCATCCCATCCTGTGCAGCACTGCTGTGGAAAGGGCTTATCCTAAATACTCCATTCTGGTATAGCAGCACATGAAAAANAAAAAAAAAAAAAAAAAAAAAAAAAAGACACTTTATTAAAAAAAGAAGCTCTTTCAAAGAGTGACAGATGAATGTAGTGACAGATTAATATAAAATTTAAAACCTGAACATTATCCTCTAAGGGGAAAAAGCTCCTAAATACAGGTGCAAAACAAAAATGGCAGAGCAAAACCTCTGACAATGCCTTGCACAGAATCATTTATTAGGTCTCTGTAAGTGATCATTAACATGAAACTTACATTTAATCTAGTATTCAACCATTCCCTTTCATCTTCCAGCTCCGCGTGTTTGTGGGAGACAGTGGTCCTTCAAGCTGCTTTTTTCTCACTGGAGTGAATGTGCAGGGGACATAGGTCAGAGAAGGGAATTTGAATAGCCCTGTTTCAAGCTCATCTCTCTGATTCTAGCTTAGACCAAAAGAGGAAAATGATCACTTCTTCTTTAGAGCTGAGCAAATTCTTTCCAAACCAAATAAGCCCTCAGCTGTCCTGTCAGCAGTACAGCCCTTTGGGTCAAAGCACAGGGGAGCAGTGTGTGAGCTGCAGTGGGCTCAGGGGTGCACAGAAATACTCCATTTCACTGCATGGATGTGCTCTTTCTGGGATGTTGGCAACAGCATATGGGCTGGCTGCAGCATTTATTTACTTGTGCTGCTATTGCCAAACCACCCAAGCAAGAGATTTCTAAACTAGCCCCATGTATCTGCCACACAGTGGTGTGTGGCCATCACTGACATGGTTGCACTGTGAACTCAGCTCAGTATCCTGGATTTCTGATGAGAACTGTTGCACACCTGGAGTAATATCTAAAGCCTCCTCTTTGACCTGCTCCTAGGACTGCCTAGCTCAGGGAGGCTGGTAAGATGTGAAATTGCCTCCCCTTTTACAAGAACATGGTTCGCTGCTCCTCTAGGCCATGTTAGCACCTCTCAACAAATGTGGGTTGATGGCACAAGTATGGTAATCACTTTGGAGGTGTCCAAAACTCTGAGTGCTTTTTTCTATGTATATCCCTTTGTGGTGTATGCCCAGCTGCCCTGGCAGTCTGCACTGCAGATTTCAGTGAGTGGAAAAAGCATTTCAAATTGAAAGGAGGTATTTTAAATACAGTCAGAAACAACATATAAAATGAACTCAAACAATTCCACATAAAGTCCTTTGTTATATTCAAAGCACTTTCCCAGCTTGACATCTTTGCTTTTTTATATCAAATATAAAATTCAAAATGTTATATTCCAGGGCAGTATCTGGATCTAAAATATAAATATATTGAACCCCAAACAACCTTTTTTGTGCTACTGCTTTGAAACAGGACCTGAAGTAAACTCATTGTAAAGATCCAGAATATTATCAAGAAAATTCTACTTATCAAACTTTTCCTCCCTGTGTTCTTGTAAATAAAGAACTTCCCTGAAGCAAGCATGAGGAGCTCTGATAGCAGTGAGGAGCAGCCTGAGTGTGGATGGCTGTGGGCAGCAGTTCATGACTGCTTGGGGATGAGCATGAGATGCCTCAGGTGTCCCTTGCATGGCTCAGAACAAGTCAGCCCTGCTCCTTGGGAACAGGGCAGAGAGCTGGAGAGAGGAAGCTCAGTCCCATCTCCCAGGAGAACATCCAGGTTTGCACAGTGAAGGCTGGCACAACCCTGCAGGGCCTGGCAACCCTTCTGTTTCCTGACACCATTTTCTACAATGCAAAAGGTCAGTGGAAATGGTCTGTTGTGGTTCTATGCCCAAAAGGTTGGTTGCTGCTTTCTCTACTGCTAATTGCTGGTTTTAAATGGCTTTGAAATGACCTCACAGTAACTGAGTGCAGGTTTGGGTCCTGTGTGTACAAAGCAGTTGAAGTGAATCAGCTCAGGGATGTTTGGAATAGGCATAGCTGGCAGCACACAGCAAAGCGAACGGCTGGGTGAATTTGCATCTTGTTTAATACATCAAAAAAAGTTTTAAGCTGTGACTTGCAGAAGTCAAGCCAGGAACAATAAGCTTGTCTGGAGAATTCTGGTCTTAGAAACGAAAGGATACGGAATCCTGTCCAAGGTAAATATTGACATGACTCAGGATGAACTAGTAAAACCTTTAATGAAGCTGAAAATAAGGCATCTGGGATAGATGTTTATTGTTAAAAATGAAACATTCAAGCAAAAGTAGCATAGTGATGATGGAGGTTATTCATAGGGAAGCCAAGCTGGGGAAACAGCATCATCTGAAAAAAACTGACTCCAGCTATTTGTGAAACATGGAAAAATGTTAGAATTATAAGAGAGCTAAAAATGTAGGTGAATAGCAAACAGTTATTAAGGATATTCAGAGTGGATTTGGAGGCTGAATCATACCAAGGGAGAAATTACTCAGGTGTCCAGAATAACTCTATTGGCTTTGACAGATTTCTTGATATTTGCCTTTGTGTAATTGAGAGTTTACTCCGCTATGCCATATGAGGACTGAATATTAAGAAACCTGGAGGGGAAAAAAGCACTTTCTTTCCTTCCAGTATCATTCTCTTGATGATAGAGAATAGGTCACATTAACTTCACAAGGTGTTTCAGGAACACATTAGGAGCTTTTCCATTTCATGCAGTAGGAAAAGAAACAACCCTTGCAGAATACTGTGGAAATAATCAGAAAGGTTCCATTGAACTGGGTATGGGAATGAATTGCGCCACTATTTTGGAAGTCATCCACCTGAGTCTATGGTGTTACTGGAATGCTTTGTGGAAAAATCTATGTCTGGGTGAGGCAACACTACCTTCCCATGCTCACCAGTGGTGGAGATACTGGGGAAGAGATGCCGGGAGCTGGAATTGCCTGCTTAGGTGTGCTCTATGAACCAGCTTTTTTCTACCTCAGAAATGTAACCTTAACACAATAAGCACTGATTGTGTGCAAAAGGTACCTTTGGTCTCTTCCCATGTACTGTGCCTATAGTTGCAGTGGCACAATGTCAGTTCAGAGCTATCTGGTGATTATGCACATGCAGCTGCAGTCCCCCAGATGGCTTCCTAGTACAGTACAAGGGCACACGTTCTTCCACCTCCAAGGCACAGGATAATCCACACAGCTGACCATGTGGCAGAAGGAGTAGAGTCAGGGACACAGGAGAAGCAGGAAGGGATGCCTGAAGAAGAGAGCAACTGGGAGAGACTGCTGTCCTGAGGTGGTGCAAGTGCCCTTCCTCCTTGGCTGCTTCTGATGGATTCAGGAAAACCGTAATTGTGTTTGGCTCTGCACCATCTCTCAAAGCCTTTATCCAGGGACAAAGTGAATGCTACAATCTCTCTTAGTCCTCCAAGCAGTCTTTTGGAAAGCTGGGGTCTAAAATAATTGAAAACTTAGAGCATAACCATCAACTTCTTGGACTAGATTTAGAAAATCCACAGTCAACCCATCCGCTTCCTTCATCTCCTGTTCTCTGAGGAGGTTTCCTTTGGCCAGGCTTTTTGTCAAGGCTACAATCAAATAGTAGTTGATGGTAGATTTTATTACTAACATAAACAAATAGCAGGTTATTTTGTTATTGTCCCAAGCTTCAGAGCTGGAGCTGGTCTTTGCATCAGTGGGCTCTACCAGCACTGACATGCAATTGGAATGCAAAGGGAATGTTGATAATATAAAACATATGTTGCTTATGCAGATCACTGAGCGTCACTTCAGTGCTCTCTACAAAGCACCTCGGCCTGTTGATCCTCCAGCAGCTTCAGCCAAAATAACCCAAAAGCTGCACGTTTTCTGAGCCACTGCACAGCAGCACAGCAGCATCCCAAAGGATGAACACCCTGGAAAAAGATGTTGACACAAGCAGCAGATATGTAGGATCATATGCTGGCATTGCTGTCTGAAACTCAGTGCAGAAATGTCTTCTCTGGGCAGAGCAAGAAGGATTTAGTGGCTATAAAAGCACATCTAAAGCAAATAAGGGATTTTTATTGTCATTTTCCCCCACACCATTTTATTGGTTTTGTGCTCATAAAAACATTAGCTGATTAACTCACTATCAGAAAGGCAAAGCTGCTAACCAGAAGCTGTGTGCAAAAACAGATACATGCAGTGCCTTGATAGTGGTAGCATGAGATTTTTCTTTTCCTTCTTCCTTACTTTTAAACCCTGGCCAATATAACTCTTTTCTGTCATCATAACATTTGGCACTATTCCCATATGTACAGATTGCAACATCTGCAAGTTTTAAAAATTAATATAAAGTTCTGTAATTTTATAAGCCTTGCTCATTTTAATGGTCCTGAATGAGCAGCTCTGATGCAACCGAGACTCAGGCAGCAGATGAAGTGCTCTGCCTGTACTGAGCAAGCTGCTCCAACGGGGCAGGATGTCGGTGTAGTTGGTGCTTGTGTGGGTGATGATCACGGTGTAGGATTGTGCTGTGAAGGAACACAAGATGGACTTGAGGCAAACAGAAATTCAGTAAGTACCAGCAAGTGCAATCATGGGTACCAAATTGCAAAGTAATCACATTTGGTAGAGCTCATTTCTGTCATCCACAGTCCATGGAGATCCAGCATGAAGGTGTGAGGTTTCACTTGGTCCATTTTAAAGCCACATTGTACATGGACATGTAGGTGACCTTTCATAGATCTTATTGAAAGCTATAAATACTTAGTCATTACCTACTCAGGTATGTTGGAAGTATGATTCAGTATTTCCAGGTTTATTGAAATACAAGCACTCAGCAAGCAGTTTTAGGAATGCTTCACTTTTCATGTGTGTATATAAAACCTTAGAGAACTCTCTGATTGTGGCATATTTCAGCATAAAGGAAGCAGAAATAAAATCAGGCCCTATAATTAACGTATTCAGTTATGGAGGACCAAAGCAGGAAGAGACAGGTGCTTTTCTGAAAAGAATGAAAGATCTGAGCAGCTGATTCATGGTGAAGTAATATGCTTTTAGCTGAGAATGTTTATTGTAGCTGAACCTCATGCCATCCCTCAAGCCAATATCTTAGATGAATCAGCAACTTGCTAGCTTTATCTCAGCTGTACCAATGGAGTTTATAATATTGTTCTGTCAGTGCTATTTATACATCAGCACATGGCTGACTACTCCAGGCAGTGCTTTTTTTACACAGCCTTGGATGATGTCACTGTGGAGTAGGCAATTGTACTGAACAAAGGCTTTCTTCAGAGCAGCAACAATTAAAGCTGATGGCAGAGTACAACACCGGAGCCATGGAAATACAGAAACAAGCTTGTTACAGTGAGCTCATGGGCACTCTGTGCTCCCTTCCCCGGGACCCTGTGACTCTGATCAAGATAACCCTGGACCTCTCCTTCCTGCCCCAACAGGGTTGGCAGAGAGCCAGGGAAGCCCACCCTGTCCAAAGTCTATGTAGACCCATGACATTTCCTGTTTGCTCTCTTTTGCCCCGCTCTCCACATGGACATCACAGAATAAAGAGAGCTGAACCAACATATATCAGGGTAAGAGCCTTTTTTGGAAATCTTTGCCATCTCCTGATATTCCTCCCCTCACAGCCTCAGACCTCTGGGCTAGCCTGATATTCAGGGGGCTGTGCAAGTTGGGGAATGTCACAAGATTCCCAGTTTTAAGGTAGCTCTAGAAGGGCTTTCAGTCCTTCAGTAGCTGGTCCCACTGGGAAATTACTTGATGTCCTACAGCTGTCAGTGCCCACCTGGCCTTGGAAATGTGTAGGGAGCAGTGTGGTCTGAAGCCTGGGGCTGCTGGGCAGAGCACTCACTAACCATGTAATTGTTTGGGGAAGAAAGCAAGCTCCTCCAGGAAAGAAGATCTGTGGATCCATTCTGCATCATTCGCTAGGAAAAACAGTGTCAGCCTGGAAGTCTGCAGCCTTGCCCTGAATGTCTTCCAAAAGCCAAGGGACTGGTATCCATTGTAGCATGAAGCATTGAAAGGATCTACAGTTATTTGTAAAGGAAGATTCCAGCATCCTCAGTTGATTGCCCTTTCATTTGTGATGTTCCAGTGAGACTGAAATTCTTCACTAGATCCCTATTCCCCAGTGCATCATGTGCATTTCCAGCTGTTTATCATCATTCCATAAGGCCAGCAACATGTCAACATCAACAGCTGTGTTCTCATTTGCTACTTGTATTGGAGCTCTCAGAGTTTATCCAGCACCACTGCTGATGAGCACTGTCCGGACACAGCGTGTGTCACTCTTCCCTAGAAGCTGCTTCTAGGAGCTCCCTCTGGACGTCCTCCAGGCAAGATGTGACAAGGTGGAAGCAAGGAAGAGAGTGTTACCCGCCAGCCCTGCCTGTGCTTTGCAGAATGGCTGCAGTAATTAAGTGGTTTATTTCAGAAGTACTTATAAATTGGATACAATTACTGGCTACCTCATAGACAGAGCTGCAACATGCTTATCCTGCAGGTTCTGACCTCTCCTGCTTTGCAGACCTCTCCCTCCATTTTCCAGTGCAGGTTTAGACTCAGGTGGGAAAATCTGCTGT